CGATCGTTATTCAATTTACGATTAAAAAACAAAAAATTTGTTATATCGTGAAATGTTTGCTTATTTTTTATTTTACATATTTCAGTTTAAAATAGGGTACCTACTTGAAAAACGTGTGATCTATACCGTATGCTATACAATTAGTAAGATAAGTTAGGAATAATTATACATATTGTGTAATATATCAATGTACATTTATAAAGCATTTTATCACCAAAATAACTTCGTAGATTCTATTACAAAAGCTCTGTCCATGAATTTTCCCCCCTCCCCCCGAATTTGACATAGGGACTCAAAACTTGTGCAACCAGCATTAAAAAATGAAAATCCTAGATAACATACATATACTCGATAAATTAAAAATGTAAGGGGTGAAATAATGTTATGATTTATTCATAGAAATGATGTTTCTATTGCCTCTGTTATCGTGACGGTTATTATCTACAAGTAGAATTGTTATGACTTCTAGTCAATATATTTTTGATATATTTAAAATTTTTAGAAGATAATATATGGAGACAGTTTTTTACATCACCGGTGCCTTGTACCTAGTTTATGCGCAAACTGTTCAAATATTTTTTTAGTCAAAACTATGTATTCCAATAGATCGCACATGTTACACCACCTAACCTAACCAGCTATAACCACATATTATATATTCTAGTGAGGTTAGATAAATAAACAATAATTTGTGTTTTTTTTTAAATAAACATTGCACATTATACCAGTGCTTTAAATTGTAACTATGTGACGGTTGGAATATGATGCAGCTGCAGCGTATAATCGATGAGTTCAAAAATACGCTCAATAAGCATTTAATTATTATTTAATTTACCTGCAAAAATGAGACGGTTCATTTTTTTAAGTCCACGAAATAGAAGCATTGAAGTTTAAAAATATTTTATTAACGGTACACTGCATAAGGAAACTTTTTTATATATTTGATATTCAAACAAATATTGCACAATCAAAATTGTACAAAATTATAAGGACGGTTAAAAATCAGTTTTTTTTTCCAAATAACCTATCTTCGTGTAGTTTGTTTTTGTTTTTAAAACAATAAGCTCTAAAGACTACATAAATATTCAACAAATTTAAATTACAACATTTTAACCGACAAACGTCCAAATCGTTAATACAAATATGACTATTCCACTGCGTAATAAACCTTCATAACTCATAAGACATAACTATAATAGTATCATTATCACGTCATGACGTTTTATAATATTATAGGTATCAATAATAGTAGTAATGTTGTACACGGAGTAGTAATGGTTAAACAGATCCCCATTGTCACCGGTTCAAAATAAAAATAATAAAAAGAGGGATATCAATAATAACTCAATAGGCAATACTAATTAGATTAAATATATTATTTCGTTAGCCAGTTGTCTATGGCTATTGCAGTATATTATTTATTTTACGGTGTACAGCGACCTGGAAATAGTGTGCACACTGCTCAGGTGATTTTAGAAATATTATATCAAAATTAGATTTGCTCGGTTTTATTAAGCATTGTTCGCGTTGAGTGTTGACCACGCATTTTTCACAAAGACGTGTCTCGGGTATTATTCCTGTCCGAATATCTTGACAACGTGACGCGAATTGTACAAGACATCTGTGTTTTTTTAACCACACAACCTAACCTAATATATTGATAGGTATATAAGCTATAAAGTTCCTAAAATATAATAATATGACTGATGACTCTATAAGAATCAAGTTATGATTCCATGGAATGCTGCAGCCATATTATTTTTATTATAATGTCCATGACGTAGGTGGTAGGTACATAACTATATTGTAACCATAATTTAATTACACCAATATTTATTTTTAGGAGCATCACGCGTAGTCATTACAGTCTGGCAAAATTAATTTTTACTGCTGATAGAATTTGTTCAACGGACAACAACTGTATATTTAAATACCTACTGACATTTAAATTAGGAGAGTCATCCATTTGTGTTGTGTGAAAAAAAATGCACACAATATAATATAATATATTTATTATGTAAGAAAGTTTTAAAATAATATTTAACGAATGATTCTCAATGTTACTTGATTTGTTCTGGTACAATTTTGGTACGAGGTAAACAGACAATTGCGAGATAATTAATTCTACTCGGATAACATAAAACATTCACTTGACTACATCCATTGAAGCGATAGCCACACATTTAACAATAGCCAAATATTTTTTTTCCAGTCTCTATAATTTTGATTTTATGTTTAAATATAGGTCAAACTTAGCTATAATACTCACTAAGAAATGTAGTATTATTTTTTTTTATCTAAGAAATACGATCTTTTCAATTAAGTAATGTCTATAACTGTCTGTTAAAATATTATCATATTGCTTATTTCATTTAAGCTTATAAACTTCCACAAATTTAAATTTTGTCATTTACATATTCAATTTTCGATTCGAATAAAGTGGTCCATCTTCAAGCCTTGAAAACTCGGAATAGTTACAACACATTTTGACCCATAGAGCAAAATTATTTAATACCTAATGTAATATATTATATCGCTTCAATGCCATTTGAAAGCAAATTATAAGATGTATTATAATATTCGCGTGTTATTGTGTTTACGTAAACCATTTGTTCTTCTCATCCAAAATTCATTACAAATTTGCTTAGTATTTCGTAGAAATGTTCTTATAGTTCTTTATAATTTGTATGATATTTAGGTTGAATTAAATCATTTTATATTTTTGATCTACGTACTATAGTCAATTACTGCAGTAGTAAGTAAGGTATAATAAGTTCATATTTGAAAACATTAAATTTATAATATCTATATTATTATTTATTAAGATTTTTTTTCAAGCCTGCTATCCATTTATTTGTATGCTGCACCTACTCAAATTTGAGTTAATACTCCAAACATGTTAAATAGCAATGCAATAACAACAAATATTTTTTTAACTAAGAAACAATTATAGTAAGAGTTGCATTTGATTAAAATATTATAGCCTTATTGGAATAATGAATAATTAAGTATTTTACTTTAGTAATTATAATAATAGTATTATTTATTTCCCACGTCAAATGATGATTATTACCATTTATAAAGAATTTTTTTTATCAGTTAAGGTAAGTTAAATCCCTAAAGTTTTCCTCCAGATTTCTAGATTAAATTTCCTTAGCCAACTTTTTAGGCCTAATTACGCTATTGATGATAACATAATATCTTCAGTAAGTTCTAGAATGAACCGTTTCCATTCTTTATCTGTTGTGTGCAAGTCACTAACTAAATTAATGTCTAAATATATTTCATGTTGTTACAAGTTTATGATTTTATATTATTTGATAATAATTAAATAATATAAAGGAAGATAAAAATAAAATAAAATGTTCAAAATAACTTTGTTTTAAATATTCTGGTGTTAAAATTTTTTTTTTAAAGTTATATGATTTAAATTTAATATTATATTTGACAGTTGGTATTTAGTCTTCACTTGTGACGCTTTCCATTTCAATGACTTAATTCAAAAATTCTATGTGGTGATATATAGTCTTAGACGCTAATTGCTGATCTGTGTTTCTTTTTATCTAATCAGATAAAAACATAAACATATATGTATCTATTTGCTTCATGTGAACTTAATAAATATATTTGATAGAACTTGTTTTGGGTGGATATAATATAATATTTCTATCTTAATTATAGTAGATCAACGATTACGTATGTAATCAAAGGGACGAGGCCGAATTATTAATGTTATTATATTATACTATACGCAGCCACTATGAATATATTTTTTTAGTGATAAACTGAAGTTTACCCAACTTTATATACTGTCAGATAACTAAGATTAATATAATCTTGGAGGAGTTGTTTGTTTACGTAATATTACCTATATTTTACAAGCCAGTGTGTTATAAATCAAAGATCGTTAATAAAGCTTTTAGTTCGTAAGCAATTTAAAAAAAAATTATGTGTAATTTGTAAAAAAAAATATTTTCACAATAACTGTTTTGATTAGGTACCTCTACATTTTTTTATTTCTGTTAAACAATCGTTCGTGGAGTAAAAACAATTTTTCGTTGATCGACTGTTGATCGACATTAAAACATATTTTTGTAAAGCTTGTTATATGTACAACAACTAGAAAGCCGTCTCCTTATCGTCGAAGTCAACCGCCATTTACAAAGAAGGCAATGTTTACAAAATTGAAAATACTATTATCACAGTATATAATAGTATATAATATGTATATGAATAAATGTAAAATAAATGTATAAATTTAAGCATTGCCTGCTTTATAAATGGCCCAACATCGGTCACAACTGTAGTATAAAAACGGCTATCTAGTTGTTGTATAAGTCCTATGGTCTTCACTCACTCAAGTCGATGAATCGACAATGGGTAATTATACCTATATGTCAAAAACTCATAATATCGTCATTCGTCATCAGCATTGTTCGATGTCACACATAGATACTAATCCATATGCTTATAATATTTTCAATTTTGTACCTACCAATCTACAAACGGAGAAATCGTCGCATTAACGTACCTATTTAAAGTAAATCGTAATCAGCGTATAATTGCATTTTAATTATATATATCTATATATCGAGGTTTAACCCTATGTGTCGAGGCGAAAGCATATTTTCAAGGGAACCACATAGACCGGGGGGGGGGAGAGGGACAAGAACGGAATGTTTTAATGACCGGCGTCACGTATTACGGAGTGGTAGTATAAACTATAGCAATACCATGGTAGTAGTATATTATTTCTGAGGACCTTGAATACACGGCGCTACACGCGTCTGCTCGGGAACGAACCCGATCACTTGTCGTCGATTCGCGCACACTGGCGTCGCTATCGAATCTCCGCGGTCCGGCGGTGCGCTCGCAATTTTCGCTCACAACAACAATATCATCTGTGCTCGTTCACAACAACGTCACACCCTCATCAGTACCTTTATCATAATATTATATCTCAAATAAATTATTTTTTTTCTGCACCGTGAAGCGACAACATGAAACCGACCGTAGCGCTTCGGCACGCGGTTTCGGTGCTGGTCGCGGTGGTAATAATTTCGGTCAGGCCCGGACACGGTATGGCGTACACAGTTTTCCAGGCAGTGGTCGAGTACTACCGGATGATAGCACCGGAACCAGTGGACGCAGTGCCGGATGCGCCGTACATTGGCCGGCAGTATGACTTTATTGTGGTGGGCGCCGGTTCCGGTGGGTCGGTGGTAGCCAACCGGTTGACCGAGGTGGCAGGCTGGACGGTGCTGCTGATCGAGGCGGGTGGCGAAGAGAACGCCATGACGGACGTGCCACTGCTGGTCAGCTATCTGATTGGCAGCGGATACGACTGGGGCTACCGGACCGAACCACAGGACGGCGTGTGCGGCGCGATGGATGACCGTAAGTGTCGGTGGCCACGAGGCAAGGTTATGGGCGGCACCAGCGTCCTCAACTACATGATGTACACGCGGGGCGTACCGGAGGACTACGACCGTTGGGCCAGGCTGGGAAACGTCGGTTGGAGTTACGCGGACGTGCTGCCTTACTTTAAGAAATCGGAGGACTTGGGAAACGGTCGGGTTGCCGCGTCACCAGAAGCAGCACATCTACACGGCCGCGGCGGGTACGTTAAGGTCCAGGAACCGTCGTGGAAAACTCCGCTAGGTCCGGTATTCCTGCGCGCAGGCCGCGAGCTGGGCTACGAGACGCCTGTCGATTACAACGGACCACGGCCACTTGGCTTCTCGTACGTACTGGCCACGACAGACCACGGATCCCGATGCAGCGCGTCCAAAGCTTTCCTGAGACCGATCCGGCACCGGCCCAACCTTACGGTGGCCAAGCGGACGACGGTCACCAAGGTGCTCATCGAGCCTAGCACAAAGCGCGCGTACGGTGTGCGGCTCGTCAGGAATCGTCGGACCTCTTTGGTGTACGCCCGCAAGGAGGTGATACTGTGTGCCGGGGCGTTTAACTCACCACAGCTGCTCATGTTGTCGGGTGTTGGCCCGGCCGAACACCTAGCCGACGTTGGCGTGCCCGTCGTTAGCGACCTCCGGGTAGGCTACAATCTGCAGGACCACGTGTCCATGGCCGGACTGGTGTTCCTAGTCAACCAGTCGGTGACTATCGTCGAAAGTCGGTATCGGCACCCTAGGTACCTGGTCCAGTATGCCCTCAACGGTGATGGACCGCTGACCGTTCCCGGTGGCGCCGAAGCGGTGGCGTTTACGGCCACGCGGTATGCAACCAACGGGTCAGTAGTACCCGACATGGAACTGGTTTTTGGTCCCGGAGCGCTGACCGGCGACACGGGCGGCTCACTGCACCGCTTGTTCGGCATGCGCGAAGACTTCTACGAAAAGGTGTACGGCGGGTTCCGTGGCCGGGACGCTTGGGGCCTAGTGCCCATACTTCTACGACCACGCAGTCGCGGCCGGGTCATGTTGCGGTCGGCCAACCCGTTTCACGCGCCGCTCCTCTTCCCCGGGTACTTGTCTGACACCCACGACCGCGACGTGCTCGTCGAAGGCATAAAACAGGTATACTTTACGTATTATAATAGCCATCATATTATAATGTCAATGTCTTTGGGTTTATATATTATATTATAACCGATCGATACTGACACTAATTACCTTAAAGTACTAATTGTATATGTTTGTTATATTGCATGAGGTAGTGTGCAATTAAATGAGAGGCATAACTCATTTAGAGCACATAATATACCCTGTCGATCAATCGATCGTATTCCACAATGGATAACGATAATTTGTATCTTCTACCGTTAGAAAATATAAATCAAAGTTAGTTAGTTCGTTTCTTTGACTGAAATGTCCAATAGTTTTGAATACGCCTAAGTTTTTGTTCTACTTTAGTGTGCTAATTCTTTCAAATTTCAAATTTTTAATGCTTTGTAGTTACTACACTTAATATTTTATTATAATATTACATCGCAATATATAAATATTATTTAAAAATTGTTTTCTCAAACAATCGTAAATATTTACAACACACGAATGCGTGTTTTATTATGCTGTTTCTATCAATTTCTTAGTGCAATAAAGTACTAATAATGATTAAAACCAAAAAGACTGAAAATCAACTTTTACTCCCATAGTACCTAATGTAGTATACGTACTAGACGGTTTTTATTGTCGGCATAAATGAAAAATACATTTCTGCACTAACCGTATAGACCTATATATATCACAATATTTCCACACACTTTTGTATCAGAAATTATTACCCCATACTTTTACAAAAACGACATGCGTATACAATATAACGATAATATATTGTGCGCATATCGGAATATTAATAATAATATTATATATTATAAAATATAAATAATAAAACCCGTTTGTCGACGGCTGAGGGCATTGAAATCACTAGGCGGTTCGTCTGCACAAATACGCTCGGTGTCGCGGTCACATATACGCGTATTATAACATACCTACCTCTATAAAACAGCTACTGCATATTTATAATTTATGCGCAGCCCGACGACGACGACTTCGTCAAACCGGAGGCAATACCACACCGTGACGCGTCTGCTGCAGTATATTATCGCTATTTTCGTACACATAGGTATATCGGTATATGAGTTTAACCGGCGTTGGTCAATAATACGATCGATGCAGCTAGATATTAATTTTATTATTATCGTCGAGCGTACGATATGTCATCTTAGGTTAGGCTATAGTACGCGCATAGTGGGATAGAAAAAATGAAATCGAAAACCCGTTGACCGGACGACAAGCTTTACTTACTTTCGCGTGAAATATTATATACCTATATGATTTTTTTCCCCTCGTTTACAACGTTGTGAAATAATATCTTACGACTATTGCAAACCCACACACAATCGGAACCCCCGGTCGAGCCAGCCTACTCAGTTATACAGAGTGATTCACCAAGCATGTTTACCCCCATTTTTCCATTAAATATACCTACAATAAATGTATTCAAATTATAATATTTTGAATTTGTAAACGTATCCTTTACGACATTTTCAGTTATTTAGATTTTTACACTAACATTTTCAAATAAAAATTGCCATTTATTCGTCTTAAAAAGATGATTATTTTTATTTTTAAATGTTGAAGTATCCAAATTTAATTAATTCTGGAAGTGAACACGTATGGTGAATCACCCAGTGTTCGACGAGCAGATAAGCCACTGCGCGTCTTTTTGGCCACGCAATTTGCTCACGTCCTCAAATAGGAGCTGGTCAAATACTAACCGGCAAACGTGATATATCTATGTACTATTTATTATAATGGTATTCAACATTATTATAGGTTGTTTCAACTTGTTTATTTCGCAATCACTTTGTCATACGATCACGACTGCATTTTTTGCGGTAGCGTCCGACACGTGATCCGAACTATCACGTCCATCACGACTATTCGATCTTCATATGATAATAATATAATATAATAAGATTTAAAATAATAATTTTATACGTATTCCAATAAACAGTATATAAACTCTATAATGATGATGATGATGGCAATAAATATGATAGTTAATAATGATTATATAGTATCACAAACCGTATTATTTTATAAACCATCACAACAAATCCCCCGAGATTGATAAACATTTCAGTGTCATATGTAATATATACACATTACACAGGCAGAGCTCAAACAAAAAACTTAAATTCTTTTATATGTATTAATTGTTATAACGACTGTTTCATTAGAATAATAATGTTATATCATTTTCATAAATTAATGTCATATATTATTTATTAAATAAGTATATAGGTATTATATTGATTACAATTATTTTGTTTGTCCTTCAAAGTAGTCTATGCAAATACTTGTTAATTACTTAATACATTTCTAAACTTGTATGGGGACAATATTTTTAATTAGGTACAATTTTCAGATCATTAAATAAACGCATTCTTAAATAATTATTATTTATTTACCATTTAACGAAGTTCTATCCATTTAAATAATAACAACTCTTTAATCTATTATTTCGTAATTTAATCAAATATTTTGGTATTTAGGTATTGATATGTTATAAAACCTAATATTTATCATTTAATAGCAATTCATTAAATCATTTGTGATTAAACTAAGAATTGGTCGAAATTATTTTCCCTTTCCTCGCTAGTACACAATTATTCCTCAAGAGCTAGGATTAATTAATTTAATATTCATGAATAATAATTGTAGTTTTGGAAAAACCATCTAGTATATACAAATTGCTTTTTCCCCTCTCTCATATTCATTACGTTTTTAATTTTTTTAATTCCTTGGTGCTTATGTTTAACAATTCCATACATTTATACATACTAGATATAAATTATATATACATGCTTTTAATGATTTGTATAGTATATTATTATAGTGATTCAAAAATCATACAATAATTATAAATAGTCTCTGAAATATGTTTTAAATATGAAATACGTATTTTTTTAACCGTTCGGTTGATACCTAATACAGCATGACCTATTGCTTTAGGATTCAAATGTTTTACATTCATTTAAAATGAGCTTAATGCATTATAATCACATTACTAAAATATAAAATGTATAACTACGTACTAACAAGCAGTTGCTTAAAAGAGGTATGCAAGGTTTGCAAATATTATTTTGTTTATAATATTATTTTATGTACGATTGAGAAATATATATTAATATATTATTATTTTTCTCATATATTAATCATTAAATAGGTACTAAAGTAAATCAAATTATAACTAAGTATAATACTCATTCTTTGGTAAATAATAATTATACTCATAACGTGTTGGGTGACTACAGTAAAATCATTATTAGTTTACTATATTTTGTATAGAATTTGATCAATATAATAGATAAGAATGTTATTGGTTTATGAGTCATTTAGAACTTCACGACAAATTCGTATAAATATATTGGCCGTGTAACACTAAACTAATAACAATATTATTAGAACCTACCTTGAAATTTTACTGTCACAATTATTGTAAATGTAATTTTAAATAATTATTGACCAAACAATATAATAATATATTTACTACTTACTTTATGAGCGAATTAGTATAACTGATATTCGACAACATTTTCTAAATAGCTACGGCCTTCCAAAATAGTTGCAACATATGAGATAAAATCATACTTATTTCTGCTCACCCATCGGTATGTAACTGTCAAAATTCCAATATATTAGGCACTGATTTATATTCACTCACGGACATCTTCAAATTGAGTAACATAATTACTAAAACGAATTATATTTTACTTGTTTGAATTCAAAGTTCGAAAATGTTGTCATGTTCAAATTTAGGTATGCATAAACCACTTTCTCCTTCAAATATAAATAATAAAAATGGAATTTTATTTTTTCTTAACAATTTTAGAGGTCAAACCCGATTTTGGGTTACGACATCGCCTAAAGACATACCTAACTTTATTACAAATGAGTAATGACTGGACATTTAACATTTGTCTAATGAAACCTTTGATATAGTAAACCTATAGCTCTTCCAAGATTATGTTCAGATGTGATGATTTGTCAATACTTTTAAATTTATAATGATAATACACCACTATTTTGCGCCAAGATGAGTTTTCTGTTAGAATACCTACTTGGTTTGTGTATCGTATATTTATATAATTATTATCGTTGTACGGCGTGACGTATAGGCAATAGAGGTACATTATTGCGTTCAATTAAAATCGATTACACATAAATCATAATAGGTCGTATAACATAAATAAATAAATCTGGTTTTTATATTATTACTATCCGTATACTACTTTTGTTCAAACGTGTTTTCTTAGTTTGGAGTCTTATGTGCCTCTAAATGAGTGTAATGACTATAAGACATAATTACAATGTATAATAATGGATAAGATGTCCAACTTTTTTTTTTTTAATCGCATTTATTTTACTCATCTTTTGGTTATAATAATATTGTAGGCTATCGCAGTGAGCAAAACCCAAGCATTTCAAAAATACGGGTCTACTCTGTTGTCGGTGCCGTTCCCGGGCTGTGAACACGAGACTTTCGGGTCGGACGCGTACTGGGGTTGCTCCATCGGACAGCTGACCACAAACCTTCACCACCAGGTGGGCACGTGCAAGATGGGACCCGCCTCGGACCCGGACGCCGTGGTCGATCCAAAGCTGAGGGTACGTGGCGTCAAAGGGCTCCGGGTGGTGGACGCGTCAATCATGCCGCTCATACCGGGCGGTCACACCAACGCGATGACGTTCATGATTGGCGAGAAAGCGGCCGACATGATCAAGGAAAACTGGATCAAATGATCGAACAGGTCGTGCTACGCTGCTGCCACTGTGGATATATCACATGTAATATATTACACTACGGTAGGTCCAAACCATATTATAATATCGTATTATGTCGTCACTGTTTCGACAAATATTTAAATTATTATAAATATTATTTTTGAAAAAAAAACTTTATTTTATCAGTCGTTGCGACTTAACGTTGTTTTCAGTTTCCATCTTCGTCTTACTTGAAATGATTTTTTTTTTCAGGTGTTAATAACGAGTTCTATGAAAAATCAATAATTTGTTCGCATAATATATATTATAATATATATTGGACAATGTAATCGTTTTATGAAATACATTCGTCATCGTCAATACCACGGTTCATATACCTATACTAATGCATAATAAATCGATTACACACGTTTGATTCAAAGAACAATATAGTGTTCAATATAGTATATACGCTATAAAGTATAAACTATATGTAAATAAGAAGATTATAGACTTTAATTGTGTCCGCCAAAAATCAACAAGTATCTCAGAATTTAATTTTCGTTACTTCGAATATAATATTAAAAAGTGTCTCAATAACAGATAACTCGAACTCACTTCATCCCCACAACCTTCGAGGCATAAGAGTATATATGTTACCGGCAAAGACGTAAATTAAAGAATTAACGTTAATGACTAGTCAATAAAATGAACTCTAATTTTAGGTAGATACATATTATAAGTTGTAAATAGTTATATGTATGTAAAAGTTTAAATAATGTGTTGGTAAATTTTTACAATTAGAAACGGCTTTGAGTAGTAAAGTCTATTTATCGAATATCTATAATGGGTACTAACAATAGCGGACTTTCCGACTCTAATATGTCGAAGGTCGTACATTTGGTACATTTTTAATAAAAGATAGCCGTCTATCGGATACTTATGTCATCTATATAGACATATAGTAATTATTAGATTTACAATATAAATCACGGTTACTTATTTTTTATAATAATTATATTAATTAAATTATAATATTTATACCCATTGCATAACATGTATCTAGTACCTACCTTCAAAGTGTCACGACACATCAAATTTAGAAAATAAATGATTCAATTTATTTATTTTATCTGTGTAATATTAAGTAAAAATTTATAGTTTATCTTATATACATTATTAAATTTCTGACCCAATTTAAATATTTCGCTAAGCAAAATTATCAACATTGTCTATCAGTATTAGACATTTATATAATTTCCTAATCATTGTTGTAAATGTGTTGACAAAATAATATTTGAATTTTACAACCTTGCCTATGTTGTCAGTTAATACCTAGACTTTGACGATATCGACTACTAATATTAGGAATTTATGATATTGGCTAGGCTTTTAAGTGATTACCTAATTATATCATTGACGGTAACATATACATATTATAATCAATACCTACGTAAAATGCTCCCAACCAACAGCATATTTTGGTACATAAATATATAATATGATATTATCTAGTCAACAAATAAAATGTGCATTACATATTGCTTCCATTTAATTTATTTTTGTTTTAAATTACACTTTAGTTTATTCCTATTTTTAATTATGGATATTATGTAAAAATGTTATAATATTGTACAATAATCGTACTATATAATATAATTTTGATGTATTAAGATAAAACAATTTTTTGTTGTATGTCTTACTAATCTTTAATTGAAGATAAGAAAATGCAATGCAAACAATGTAAAAAACTTGGTTTTTCATAAATAACTATCTAGTGTAAATTATGTATAATTTAATTGTTTTTATAATTGTTTTTCTTAAATAGTTATTACTTTTTTGTATTATATTAGATGTTAATTGTGAAATATATGTTATTCGTTGTAAGACTTTTTATTTTGAGAATAAATATGTTTTGTATTACTTTGATACATTATAGTTATTGCAGACTGATTTGCGCCTACATAATGCTCTACAATATTTCCGTACAGGTTTAATAAAAAATATAGGTCAAATTTTAAAAAAAATTGGGACTACCTTAAAATTCTTAAGTAATATAATATATACATTTACTATTTAAATATCCGGTTGAAACAATGGATTATGTAAGAATAAAACTATTTTTATAATCCGCTATACAAAAATTATCAAACAGAAGTGTGTTTAGCAGTGATTTACAATACACATTATACCTACCTATAATATTAATTTAACGTTATAGTGTTCTTAGTAATGTTTTCAGCTTGGTAAGTTTTTTTTTTAAATTTCTTTTGTTTATTAATCAAACATTCATACTAACCGTGAATAAATGAAGAAGTAGTGAACAAGCACAGCTTTAAATAATGTAAGCATAATTATTATTTATAACACAATTCTTTATATAAGATAGATGATATTAGAATAGATAATCTAGATCACGGACTAAGGTTAGGTATATTGAGCTATTAGGTAAATGATTAAGAAAAAGCAATGTAAATAAAAATTTAAACTAGAAAAATAATTAGTGTGCATAATTTATTATATTGCATACATTGCGTACATGGCTTGATTACATAGTTTACATTATAATAATATTGTGTTTTATTATCTTTCCAACTTCTTACTATTCATCGTTATACACATGCTGAACAAACTTCACGCATAAGATCTTCAAAGGTTCGTTTTAGAGTTGGTACAAAACCTGAAATTCACAGAATGCATGAGGAAATTCAGAAATTAAAACTTCTAATAGGTATTTAAGAAGACAATAAGTTTACACTTTCCCGCATTCTAAATAAATATCACTGTCATGAAATAATATGAAATAACATCATAATATGCTTACCAGAAGAGAATGCGCTAGCTATATTGTGCTCTTGATAGTTCTTGCTTTCTAGGTGAATTTCTGAAAGGTTAGAAAAAAATAATACTGTTATTTAACACTGTTAAATAATATTTACATATTATAACATATTATGTTCCATCTAAATTCTCAAATGAGATGAAAGTAAAAAATAAACTTTATATTATATAATTAATTGTTATTATTCTTAATTGAGTTTATTGGAAAATAATAAATAAACACTATTAGGTTCAAACTTACTCAATATACTTGCTCCGTCAGATGAAAATACAACCATAACAACAATAAGAAACACAACAAAAAACGTTTTGCTTAACTCAAACATTATTGAGATTACAAATATCTATAAGAATAAAAAGTTGCGTCATTACGATTGATATAATAATATTTAAGCATTAATTATATTATTATACTTTAGATGTAATATATTATGTGTTACAATATTTAACTAAAACCGTAAGTTAGGATAAACTAATACGATAATAGTTGGAAGATATTTTAAATCATAAAAAAATTATTATTGTCAAAAAATATGAAGTGTAGGTTTTGAGAATGTGAGAATGAAGTAAGTAATTGTAAATGTGAAAATGTATTAGCCAGCAGTAGATGCTAAGAAATAATAATTATTTCTCTAAGATTAATAATAGGAAAAAACCTAGAAACTATATAATGGAAATATGTTAAAAACGCTAAAGAGGTGTGAGGTTTATTTTTGTTTCCGATAAATGTTGTAACGTAGGTACACACAAATATTATTTGTCATTAGTTATTAATTTTTTTAATGAGAAAAATGTTTTGAAAAATTAGTAGTCTAGTTGCCCGTTAGGCTATTCCACCTTACACACCTTATATCAAAACTTTAAATTATGTTAATACAGTTTTGGTACTTATACCATACATTTATAGTATTTATAGGATAATATTTAAAAATGTTAAAATATGAAATAAAAAATTATGGTAACATATTTACAACTTATTAAGTAGGCATCTAAAAAATAACTATGATAAAAATACCTAGTAAATAACTAGATTAGTTTGCTGAATTTCAATGATGACAGTGTGTAACTCGTTATTAATTTAAATAAGTGAATATCTTTTTTCAAAATCATAGAAGTATAACAAAATATAATATACAAACAATTACTTATCTTTAATATCAGTAGCGTATTCAGAATTTTTTTTTCGGGAGGGGTTATAATTTATTTTTGTCGAATTTTTTCTGAAAATGATTTTTTAATGATAACTTTGTTATAATTTAACAATTTTCGGGAAGGTACAACCCCCTAACCCCCCTGGATACGCCACTGTTTAATATTAATTTAGTATTTTGTAATAACAATTATATTGAATATAATATTTACCTGTACTGCAGCTATGGAGTATAAGAACTGTTAAAAACTAATTGTCAACTAAATAAATTACAATATTCAAGTGCATAAGAACAATTTAAAAATTATTATGTGAAACACATTTTTGAATTGTTTAACCACGACAATGTTTACCCTAAATTCTAAGTAGATGCAGCTATAGTAGACCAGTGCTTCCCAAAGGGTATTCCACAGGCTGCATCACACTATTGTAGTATGCTGTGAAATTCTAAAGGTTTGCTGTGAAACTTTAGGTTTTTACGTTACTGTTTCATACAATAGAATAAAATATTGCTCGATATCCAAAAAAATTAATATATAAATATATATCTTATATAATATAATTTTACTAGACATGATAAAGTTTATGATATCTGCGTATTCACCTATGTTTTCGTAATCCTAATGAGAACTTATTTTTGGAAACCCTAATATAATATTTATCCGAAGTATACTGAGACTTAAAATTACTAATAATAATGTGCCACGATAGACAAAACAAGACTGGGAACCACTGTACAAGACCACGTATTTCTGTGCAAATATTAAAATACAATCCTTATATTATAGTGTTGTATAATGTTGGTTCTTAATTAGACGTTTTAATCGATATTATTTTATAAAATAACATTAAGTACTGGTTTCTTTATTTTATACATCGATAAAACAATTGTGTTATTAGTTTATAATTTAACTAAATATAATAATATAGTAATAAAATATGTATTACTAAAATAATATATTAATTTTTTGAAAAAATGTTTGGACTTCAATATTATAATCAAGGTTGTAAGTTTATTTTTACTGTACAGCCGCTAATGACAGGAGAG